CAAAGCTCACGTAAATCTGACCCCGCAAATCAATACGTTGCTTTCGTTGCGGGGTCAGATTTACGTGAGCTTTGTTTGATGTATCAGTTATCCTTTACGACAAAAGCTTGTACGCGATCACGAACGTAAATGTGCATAGCAATATACCCTCATTTCCGGAGATTAGTTAAACTTCAAACGTCTGTGCTGTTGTGCAGTGTTCATGTAATTTGTTCTTCCCGGTTTGTGTTACCGTTTTAGGCATATATTTATCTGCCTGAATCAGGCAGCTTTCGTTTCTGACCCAGTTTAGGTCAGTGCTCATCGTCTAAATCGGTGTCGCTAGTATCGGACTAGCCCATATTTAAGACAAGACTCATCCAGACTCCGTGTCATTTCTACTGCTAGTACTACTGCTACTACAGCTAGTTCGAGTCGCTTGAGATGTAACGAATGAGAGCTAAATGTTGTACTGCTGTCCGATTTCGTGTCCTCCTTCACGGTCTCTGCTAAAAAAATTTACTTTGATGCTAGTTTCATCGAAAAACTAAGTGTTATAAAACCCATCACTTAATAGCGTTTTTTGGTTGTTAACATCAAAGGAGTCATTGATGATCAACCTAATAATCCAATAATAATAATCGAGAAACCCTGACTTATGTACGTTGCCGATGCTTGCGTGTGGTCTGTTTGAGAAACCACTTTTCAATTATATTAACGAGTTTTTTCGGCTTCTTTTATTTCAGCCAAGTATCTGTTTTGTGGCTTGAGATATTGGCTCCTGTGTTTAAACAGAACATTTGGAAATTAGACTTGGTGCTGGTGTTACTAATCCAGAAGTCTAGTGTCCAAATGAGGAATTATATATCGCTGAACTGACATATATAGATAACAGACTGGGTAACAATGAACGAATATGTAGTGTGAAACAGATCGACTCAGATATGGTGACTAAACTGTCCGACAGTTTCCTCACGTGCTTTTCACAATAATGTCTCACCACTGCTCCCAGATTTCGGGAACAAACCGAGGACTATTTGAGTATGCGTTAACTAAGATACGATTCATATTATGCGAACATTCTCCCCGGGAAAACAACTGTGCACACGCTGGGTGTGTATGTCCCAAGAGCACTTTTCGGATCAGCTTTGAGTTGCAACGATTAGTTGACTGGCTGACTTGCTGGTGGTGGTTTTTTTATGCTATTGTTTGAGTTTATTTCTATGTACACCTCAGATATCATTTAGCCTCCTAATTTTATAGTCTGAGTACCGTTCTTCCATTTTATAATAATAATATACTATAATTTCCAGCTAAAGGGCAGTTCCGTTTCTCCTGGGCCACTAGAAATATTGTGATATGTGGCCTACGTGTCGTCGTGTCGATTGATACTCAGTTTTGCCTCATACAGTTGGTAATGTGGTGTATCGCATTCCGTCCGCATGCCCATATCTAAGTCAACCGGCAACTTGGAAATCCTTCCGTCTATCATTTAAAACTGTCTGTTTGCCTGTGTAGGCGCGATGTACCATCAGTAACGAGACCAATCTAGTTTCCCAGACACTTCTTTTCTCTACCCATCATTCTCTGATGGTTCTGTTAGTTAGTTAGTTTGTGGCAGCAGATGCGAAACTCTTCACTTTCAAAATCCAATCTTTAGTTCACAAGGATAGCCTGATGTTCCGTCATAACTCTCTGGATTTCGTTAAAGGCTTGCTGAGCTTCTGGTACTCATCGGTAACGATTTTCGCACATGGATAATGCAGATATTAGTTTTTTACTAATCGATCAACCGGCTGTTGTATGTTTGGTTGATGTTCTATCACGCTCCACATTCTCTTTGATGTATTTCTTATTTTAACTCGCTTGTGAATTCATGAACGACTAAATGAGTAATCATTTGGTCGTAGGTGTTATCGTGGTAATGGCGTACGTTTTTCTCCAGCCTTATTCGCTTATTCCTGTTCGGTGTAACTGTTTTTAATCCGCAACGTATCCCGTGGTTATTCAGTCTTCACTTCTGATCATTTCTACTTAACTCAACTTTTTAGTTCCTCTTCATTGTTTAATCGCGTTGATCGCTACTTGGCTGTGATCAGTCGAATAATCCCCGTCGTTTAATTTTGTTCCGTTTCCGAAATATGCACACGAGGATACACCAACACGCAGGCTCAGATTTCGATTAAAACATGCTTCGATTCGCGGTCTTTGCGGCGGCAAAATTTTTGACAGTGTGCTTTTTCTTAGCTGGTTCCCACCATTGGTAGCTCGACTGCAAAAAGCAGCCCCTGTGACGGGTTAAAATTTCAGCCCATTTATTTGGACGTACCGTCTTGGTGGTGGTAATCACAAAGCCACTTGATTATGAAGGCTGTTAAACATAATCGCTGATTGAAAGCCACGAATGGAAACAAAACTGCCCTGACCGGTGGCTGAATGAGCATGGAAAAACTTGTTTTAACAGTGCTGGTTTTTTCAAATTGCCGTAAATAAGGGGAGTTATCCCCCCCCCCCGATGATAGCACGGCATTATTTGTTTCAAACACTGTACTAAGGTGAAACTGTGAGCGAGGTCA